CGCTTGGGGACCCTACAGCCCTCCGGACTCAATATTGAGTTCAATAATTTTAGGGCCTAAACTCTCCCCTGTCCCAGCCCCCCTACCCCACATACCAGGCTTTGTTACCACATAGCCTGCCATTACACACCCCCTGTTGTTAGTCACTAACAGTCCCCATTAACAACTATTCACCCTCCCAGCCTGATCGTTAGCAACTCCTTTGTCTGTCCAACTGTCTTTCTCTCTCTTGGGGCTCTATCCTATTATTTACTCCCTACCCCACCCACCTCCCTATTTTCTGCATATAAACTGACGTTTTCCCAGCCACCATCAGATCTGAGGAAGGGTCACCTCCCGACCCAAAACGTTAACTCTGTTTTCTCCTTCACAGATGCTGCCAGACCTCCTGAGCTTTTCCAGCAACTTTGTTTTTGTTCCTGATTTACAGCATCCGCAGTTCTTTTCGTTTTTATTGACAGCATTAATAATCCTGCATGACCTGTACACCGCCTACTCACTCATTCACTCACTCAGGACGCTTCCCCACCTGTGCCAAATTAACAGCCGTGCCATCCACTTCTCATTTCCTGTAACATCTGCCTCTCTCCCATTCCAGGTGAAAGAATGCCACAGTAGGGCCGAAAAAGTCAAGACAGATTCCTCAAGTTCATGTGAGGAGAGGATCCTGACCCTGACCGCCATACCCGAGCTTGAATTGGTATTGGGAATTGTCCTTGACTTACTGTGTCAGGACTCGCTGAGTGAAGGCTATTCTCCCTCACTCAACAGAGACCTGCTGGTAGCTATGACAAGCTTCCTACCTTTGTGTCTCTGCTAAACTGCAAGGCATGACAGCAGTAATGTGACTGGTATCTAGCTGAGGGGCTAAAAATTCAAAAGCATCCTTAAGCATTTGCTGAATAATGAGGTGACTTTCTCACGAGGCAGTGGCAAGTTGCCCATTGAGGGGGATTATAACTTTTTAAATGTATTATAAACACCAAGCTCGCCAAATTAATATTCAACTTGCTGTTATCAATCCTGCCAAGCATGCTAAACATTCTCGAAGTACTTGTGACTTACCTTGCATTGGTTACAACAAATCTCTATGTTGCTCAGCTCAAAAAATATCTAAGGACGCTTTATATGGCCATTAGCCACATGCACCTCTCTTACATCAACATTGGCATCTGTGGTTGGCACCTCAGGCTGGTTACTGTCAGGGGATCTGTCGAACTCCAGTCAGCCTGTTGGGCCAGCACCAGTCACGGAAACTGGTATCTTCAGTCAGGGGTTTGCAAAGACAGCATATTGCAGTCTGGTCAGTCTACTTGACAAAATCTGTTAAGATCCCATTGAATACTGTGGTTACATTTCTTGATCATTAAGGAGGGGGCCTGTAGGTGCAGCAGGGTTTGGGGGTACGGTATTGGAGATCACTGCAAAAAGGATGGGAAGGTCATGACTGGGGCCATTTGTTAAGCAGAGACACTTGTTGATGTTGGAACAAAGGTAGTGACGGGGCGAGCGGTGCTCAATGCTTATGGTGGTACGTGGGTCAGCATTGGAGGGCATTGTAGGCTGTGAGAGAGGGACGGTTATTGGTAGTGATCACCACTGTGGCTTTCATAGGGCAAGCAGAGAGGAGCTAGGTAAGCATCACTTACATGTAATGATGGAGTTCAAGGAACAGGAAGGACAGTTGGAGGTGAAGTTCAGTGTGATGCATCTCCACATGAGGGTGATGAGTGGAAATAGGCTGTCGTGGTAAAGCAAGATAGAGTGACTAGTGGTCACCTGGCAACCAGTTGAAGCCTTTTGCTGCCAGTCTCCACCTCAAGCTGTGCTACCCGCTGCCACTTGCCTTTCTCTAGATGTTAAATGCAACTGGAAAATGATTGGGACGATGCTCAGTGTTCAATGAATGAAAGTATAAGATCCACATCTGCTGGAAACCAGGATATTGTCAGGGCAAAAGCATGAAGCATGCATTTGCTATTTCCAGCTTCATTTCATTTACAATTATTTCTTTTCCCATTTGCAATGCATGTGGAATGGACATGCCTTAGGCATCAAATGCTGGTGAAAAGCAGATTGCAGCATCTCATTCATGCTTACAAATCAAACATTGTCATCTCAGTGATATAGAAGTTAGGGACAATTCCTTAAAAGGAGGAGAATACTGACCAAAAGCGTACAATCACTTGCAAAACTTCCATGGGTGCTGCAGGACGAGGCAAATGGCCTTGCATTGTATGTCATGTAAGTATGTTGATCAACTGTACTGAATTGAATGATACGTTTCTTGAAAAGTGTGGGTCTGGGTGGGAGAGGTAGTGGAGTGCAGCAACAAATCCTTTTTGAAGTTGTGTGTTGGTTACACATCCGGTGCAGTGCCTTCACCAAGTTGGTACACAGTCTGTGACTAGGACTATGATGGAGCAGACAATAGGGCTGTTCAGGTGCGGTGTCAAGACCGTATCATTTTGGGTTTTTTTGTATATTTTTAATTGTGGAATAAAATGGAAAAGGATAATTTCAGCCAACCCTTTGGAGTGGTGTTAATGAACTGTGGTTTCCCAGATTTTTTTTTCCTCCATCTGTAAAACCAATTTTTTTTATTATGTGTGCAGGGCTTTTCAATGGGAGTTAGAGTTTAACTTGTAGAACCATAAGTTGATAACTCATTGTTTCCTTATGATGAAATTTTGCTTGTAATAAATAGTAGTTCTTGTTAAGTACTGGAACCTGTTCAGCGTTTTCTGTTAACTGGGTTCTAGACAGGTAAATTGAGACTTTGCATGCTTTATTAAGATTATTATATCTTTATACCTGAGACTAATGGGGTTTGAGAAGTAGTGCACTTTCCCTAGTAGATCATAATAACAGTTCCTCTGCTTGATGCAGTCTGGGGGTCTCTCCAGTGTAGTCTGGACCAAGTGGCTCTGCATCATCTTGATATGCTATTCATTGCACAACTGAAGCAGGCAACAAGGTGACATGATAGATGTTGAGGAGTCGGGGGCACAAGCATTCTTTCAAGGTGGAGAGGACATTGAACTGGAGGACGCTGTCCTGATGCATGACAGAGCTTAGCTGCATTAGGCACTACAATCCAGGTAAGAAGTGATTGACACCCAGTTCCAGTAGAATAGTTATTGATGATCATGCCAGTATTTGGTTGGCATTGTCGGAGTGAACTACAGCCTCTATTGGTTTTGCTTGTGTTTGCTTTTAGTGACTAAAAACAAAAGCTCATGTTTGGATTTGTCTAATAGCTTGCCTGTACGTGATGTTCTTTGTTTGGACAATAGCAACATGTGGGTTTGCCGTGGACATTGGGGACAGGGTAGAAGTTACTTAAAGAGGGTGTTTAGCCAGAATGTAGCTAAGGGCAGGTAAACTATGTGGCGTGGTGGTTAGATAACGACTCGGTTGAGAGAATGGACTTGTATATGCAAGGAGTGATAACGATGTGCTCTAAGTGGTGTGATTTATAGCTGTTGCACCCTTACATTGCTGATGAGGGACAACACCAAATTGTCATAGCGCCCTTTAAAGAATGGTGCAGGTGCAAGGGATGCTGGTTTTTCAGTGGAGATGTGCTGAGTGGTGAGTTATTCTGGGATCAGTGTGTTGAAATATGGGAATAGCATCAGATGTGAGGGCTGCCATAGGATGGGTTAGGTAGTTAATGAGGTGAGCTTGGTAAGATATGGTGAGAAATCTCGCTAGGCCTCGCAGCTGGAAAAAAGCCTGACACAACTTGTGCTTAGGAAACTTAATGTAAGATTCAATCCTATGTGTCTGTCTTTGCGCTAGAAGACTGAGTAAACTTCTCCAAGTATCACTGAAAATCAAAAAGTGATAGTATGGATAAACTTCAAACAATCACATCACCAGGTAAAAGATGCTGGAATCCTCTGGGTTGAAAAGAATGAAAAGTCTGTATAACCAAATAGTCTGCATGTTAGTGCCTCAGTTCTGCCTCTAAAAATGTAACAACTCACACTTACCCATATTAGCAGTCCATTTTCCAATTACACACCCATATACAAAAAATTATTGATGCCTTCCTGCATTTTTTTCATAGTCCTCCTCTGTATTAACCCCATTCTCCAATTCAGTATCATTTTGACCCTGGTGTTTTCTTGAGATTATTAGCAGGTGGTGCTGCTTTCCACAATTTCTGATCAATTTGATTAATATTTTTCATCATAGGAAGTATGTGATTGATATTGTTTGTATGCCACCTCCATTGTATTTGTTTGGCCTATACTTTAAGAGATGAATGAATATTTGGAAGAGTACTATCTATTCAGAACTTATTCACAGCAAGTTAGTCTGCTGTTCAGTTTTTAATCACTTTTTTTGCGGTTCATCTGAAATAGTGCAATTTTGCAAAATGTTAAATCTTGCTATAGATAGTAGATGACCAAACTCTTGCTATAGATTGTAGATGACTATTTAATATTAATATTATATGCATTACGAGATCTTTTATAACAATTGCAGAGCATTGCATTAATGGTAGTTACTAATTTTTTTAGAAGATTTGTAGTTACTAATATTTAAAGCAGACTTGTGGCAACATTTGTTAGGGTTAAGGGCACTTCTGAATTGGCTGTTTCATTTGATGTTGGTGGGAAACACACATGCAAAATAGCACTCCCATTACCATGTTCATTTATTCAGAATTATTTCCGTAGATCTTTTGTAGATCAATTTGAGACAATTCATTTAAACATTTTCAGGAAAGCTCGTAAAATGATAAGATTCCCTGCTCAAGATACTATTAGTACTGAGCAGAATATTTTAGATGACGTTCTGCTTTGTTGATTCTTTAAAAGACATTGGGAAATTGCACCTCAGCCTGTGATTTTCAATCGTTTAAATTAATGGATGAAAATTATGGGCTCAATATATGAGATTTCCATTATATACTCAGATTAAGGATGGTTCTGTAGGGGGGAGTGCAAATTGTAAAATTACCAAATAATGTTAATTTTTTTTTACAGAAACAAGATTTCAAAGCTTTGCTACCGCATGGTATTCACCAATGCATTTGAATTTTTTGTTTACATGGCTATTCTACTTAACATCTTTCCACTCATACTGGAATATATTCCCAACGTGAATTTAGAACATGAGACAGAGCTGCGAACAATTAATTATATTTTCTTTCTAGTGTACGTAGTACAGGCACTTATGAAGGTAGGTAAAATCTATTACGTTGTACATCTACATCTTTACAGAGAACAATGTGCTCTACTTTAATTCTTATATTGAATGTAATTTTCCAACTAGCCGAAAGGTTACTATTATCTGCTTTGCATCTTCATTCATGCGTTCTATTTCCTTATTGTCAAAATCAGAAAGTTACATTCACACAATGTTTTGATACATTTTTAAACTTAGTGTTTTACATGCAGCATTCATCTTTTAGGAAGATGAGCTGGTCATTTTGTACAAAGTATTCATTTTAGATGGTGGTTGAGGAAGTAATTGGGCAGAGCTTGGGAATACATCTTAAATATTAAGATTGGAAATGGAGTGAAGGAAATGGGATCATTGAAAATGATGGTGTAAGTGGATAAGAAGAGTGATTTCCTTCCACTGTTTCAAAATTAATGTTTCAATTTTGAGATGGAAATTGATTTCCATAATGAGGTATCACAAGAAACACCTGCATTAATTTTGAATTGTATCTTTATTTAGAACAGTTGACAGCCATTGGCATATGTGTAAATTGTGGTCCCATGAGAAATATTGATGCAGTTTTGGGCTTTGATTGTGTGGAATGTGCATTTCCCAAACCACGTTCAATGGAACTGAATGTAGGTTGGACAATTGAATAGTTCGCAATGTAAACTTACAGGAGAGGTACTCCAATTGGGATGTAACTTGTATCTATTCCAAATAATTGTGTGCCAACAGTGCTGTTCAATGCCAGAGAAAAGGCAGAAGAATTAAACAGATATCTTAAATCTAACTTTTTCATTGCAGAGGATTTACAAATAACATCGCAAAAATAACTGTGAATCAGAAGTTGAAAATGAACAAGAAACTTCAATCACTATCACCAGAGGCAGGCTACTGAGAAAACTATTCGAACTAAAATCTGACAAATCCCCTAGCCCTAATTAGCTTCATCCAAGGGTATTAGAAGAAGTAACTGTGGATATAGTTAGGTGGATTTGTTTTAATTTTCCAAAATTCTCTAAATTTTGTAAAGATCCCATCAGGTTAGATAATAGTGAATATAATTCCTGCAATCAAGACAGGAGGGAATCAGGAAGAGGAAACTATGGGCCAGTCTGCTTAGTACCTATCATATACCAATCTATCATTAACGAGTTTGTAGCAGGGCAGTTAGAAAATCTTAATGTAATCAGGAACGATCAATATGATTTTGAGCAGCACGGTGTCTCAGTGGTTAGCATAGAATTTTCATAGAATCCCTACAGTGTGGAAACAGGCCATTTGGTCCAATAAGTCCACACTGCCCTTCCGAAGAGCATCCCACCCTGATGCATTCCCCTACCTCTACATTTTCCTTGTCTAACCCACCTAACCTAGACACCCCTGGGCACTATGGACAATTTAGCATAGCCAATCCACCTAGCTTGCACATCTTTGGACTGTGGGAAGAAACCAGAGTACCCGGAGGAAACCCATGCAGAGAACGTGCGAACTCCACACAGACCCCGAGGCTGGAATTGAACCCGGCTCCCTAGCACTGTGAGGCAGCAGTGCTAACCACTGAGCCACCATGCCACTCCATGATTATTTCGCACTGCTGCCTCACAGCGCCAGGCACCCAGGTTCGACCCTTGGGCGACTATCTGTGTGGAGTTTGCAAACTCTCCTCATGTCTGTGTGGGCTTCTTCCGAATGCACCAGTTTCCTCCCACAGTCCAAAGATGTGCAGGTTAGGTGGATTGGCCATGGGAAATGCAGGGTTAGAGGGATAGGGTAGGGTGGGTTTAGGTCTGGGTGGGATCCTTTTTGGAGGATTGGTGTGGACTTGATGGGCTGAATGGCCTGCTTCTGCACTGTGTAGGTTCTATGATTATATGGTTTTGTTAAAGGGACAGCATGGTTGATTAATTTCTTAATGTTCTTTGAGGAATTAATAAGTATTATAAATAACTGAGAACTAATTGGATGTACAGTGTTTAGATTTTCAGAAGGCATTTGAGAAAGTGCCACATCAAGGATTATTGCATAAAATAAAAATTATCAGTGTATGGATAACAATTCAGCATGAATAGAGGATTATTTGGTTGATAGGTGGAGTGTTTAGGTATAAATGCTTCATTTTTGAGTTGCCAGGATGTGTGAGGGATGTTCCACAGAGATCAATATTGGGACCTCCATTGTTTACAATTCATATCTATTACTAAATGAATGGTTACTACATTTTCTGATGATACAAATGTAGATAAGAAAATAAGCTGTGAAGAGGACTTAGAGTCTGCAAAGGGATGTAGATAGATTAAATGAGTGGCAGAAATATTCCAGATGGAGTATAATGTGGGAAGATGTAATAATACTATGGCTTTAAGAGGTGTGTTTTGTCCTCGGTTTTTTTGAAGAGAGATTTAGAGGCAGAGGTGCCAACAGCCTATGCAGAGCCACTAGAGTAAACAGTTTGTGATGCCTTGGGGGTTTTAAAAATGTTGGGACAATAGAAGCAGCCTGAATGGGTCTGGTCAAGCTTTCACAGAAACAGGAGGTTTAGTCTTCTGGTTTTTCAGTAGTAGAGTTGTTGCTGGGGTCTTGACAGGGTTTGGAAGCTGTGGTACATCTTTCCCTGCTACACTCTGATCTTTCTCTTGGTATTTTCCTACTGCCTGCATTGCATGTGAGACAATCTGTTTTTCTGAATTTGCCTTTGCCTTTGTGTTTATGGGATGTTACTATATTGGAACAGTTAATTAGTAATATTTACTGTTATCTATTATTTTGTTAAGCATTTTGATAGAGTTACAGTTAAGCCAATTCTTTATTTTTTTCTTTTATTGTATTTTACCTATAGTGTATGAATAAAGTGTGTTTTGCTTGAGATTGATTAGTTTGACCAATTGAATTGTATCTGGAACGTAGAACCCTACACTTACCTTTAAAATAAGAAAAAGGATCTGGGCTATTTTCTTAATATATCTTGAGGGGGTTTGGTCTGGTCCATAACAACAGAAGGAATAGAATAGCAGCCTATCTTTTAAATGGAGAGTGATGGCCGAACTCAAGGGCAGCCAGAAAGGAGAAATGTATTAACAATGGGAAATAGCAAAGTTAGGCGAATAGATACTGTTCTCTGCAGCAACGACAGACTCCTGAAGGCTGTATTGTCTGTTTGTCTGCCAAGGTTAAGTTGTATCTTCTTGACCAGAGAGGAACTTGAAGTGGGAATGAAAGGATCCTATTGTTGTGCTACATGAAGTTAACGGTAACATAGATGGGAAAGAGATTCTGCTGAGAGACTATGAACAGCTCAGGGCTAAACTACAAAGTAGAACCACACAGGTAATAATCTCAGGACTATTACCTGAACCAAGTGCAGAATGACACAGGGTGAATAAGATTCGAGAAGTAAATGCAGGACTCAAAGATTGTTGTGAGAGAAGGAGGTTCCAATTCATGGGGGCAGTGGCATCAATATTAGGAAAAGAGAGAACTGTTCCTTTGGGACCGGCTTCATTTGAACCATGCTGGTATCAGTGTACTGGTAACTTAAATAGGGTTATAGATAGTGTTTTAAATGAATTGAAAAGAAGGGAGAAGGTTTATTTGAAGGTTTGTTCAAAAACCATTTAAAAACTAGAAGCAGAGACACAGAGTAGTAATGAGACAAGGTGTGATGGAAAAGGGTAGAAAATATAAACAGCAGAGAGCAGTAGAAATTAGAACCATGGTAAGTAATAATGGTGAAAAGTTCTAGCATAAAGCTCTTTATCTGGATGCACACAGGATTTGGAAGAAGATTAATTGATGGCACAAATAGAAATAAATGCATATGACTTGATTGCTATTAAGGAGATGTGATTGCAGGATTATCAAGATTAGGAACTCGGTATTCAGGAGTATTCAGTGTTCCAGAAGAGTAGGTAATAAGGAAAAGGAGACGGGATAGCATTGTTTATAAATGAAGGTATCATTGTGGTGGTAAATAGTGATACCAGTTCGGGTAGAAATAAGGCATAGCAAGGGAAAGAAGTCATGAGTGGGAATCGTATGTATGCCCCTGAAGAGTTGCCTCACTGCGAGACAAAATATACATTGGGAAATAATGGAGGCCTTCAGAAGTGCCCTACAATTGACATGGATGATTTTAATCTGCATATTGACTGAACAAATCAGATTGGAAAGGTTAACATGAAAGACAAATTTATAGAGTGCATCAGAGATTATTCCTTAGAGCAGTACATTTACAGAACCTACTCAGAAACAAGCTGTTTTAGATCTGGTAATGTGTGATGAGATAGGATTAATAAGAGACTTGTTGTTAAGGATCTTCTAGGGAATAGGGATCACATCACAGTGAAATTTCACATTCAGTTTGCCAACAAGCAACTCATATCTCAAACCATGTTCTTCAACTTAAGTAAGGGAAATTACGGAGGCATGAAGAAATATTGTTGAAAGTGGACTGGGAAAATAATCTAAGGTGTAGGTCATTGGATGACCAATGGCAAACATTGAAGCAGATATTTCATAACACTTAGCAAAAGTTTATTTCACTCAAAAAGGACTTGATGAGAAGAATGAACCACTCATTAACAAAGTTCGTTAAGCACACTGTCCAATCAAAATCCAGATATTACAAACTGGTAAACACTTGTAGTAGAACAGAAGATTGGGAATTGTTTTAGAACCCAGCATTGCAGGACTAAAAAGCTAGAAGAGAGAGATAAAATTGATTATAAGGTAAATTGGCAAGAAATATAAAAACATAATGCAAGAGCTTCTGCAAGTAAATAAAAAGGAAGTAACTAAATTATGTTGAGTGGTGCAACTGGGAATTAATAATGGGAAACGGAAATTGCAAAAAATTTAAGCCACTGTTATGCATTGGTCTTTCTGGTAGAGGATATGATAAACATCCCAAAAGATAACAGATAAGCAAGGTGCTAGTGGAAGATAAAATCTGAGAACAGTCTCTGTCACAAGGACAAAGTATTTGACAAACTCACGGGATTAAAGGCAGACAA